TATAGAATGTATCCATTCTGAATATCTGTGCTTTCTTCCTCCTCCGCCCCTGCTCTGGCTCTTTCTTCCTACCCTGCTTCCTTTCAATAAATACCCATTTGCAGCCTGCTGGGCGCCTAACAGATTCTACATGAAGGTGCTACAATAGAAAGGGTGAGAAAGAGCTCTGGTTCACAGGGCTCAGTGGGTTGGGTGTTATGTCCCAAACTGAAAGATCATGGGTTCGATTCCCAGCGCAGGGCACATGCCTGGGATGTAGGCCGGGTCCCCAGTAGGGGGCGCGCAAGAGGCAACCACACATTGATGTTTCCCTTTCTCCTCCCTTCCCCTCTCTCTGAAAATAAATAAAATCCCCCTATAAAAAGTGGGGAGAGAAGGAGATGGTCGGCCTGCGAGGGCCTTCCTGGAGCTGCCTCTTGCTAACAGAACTCTGGTTTGGCGCAATCTTGGGCAGTAAAGCGCTCTGGGAATGTTTCCCCAGGACTGGTAGAAACGGACCTGGGTAACCCCAGTTACGTGCTCAGTGATGACGTAGAGGAGGGGCGGGCCCGGGCCCCAGTTCCAGCCAATGGGGCGGGAGAGGACGTGGGCTGGGGGCTCTGGGTGCCTCTTCCCTGAGGAGACAGAGGAGCTCGAGCCCGCCCTCCCTTCCTGCGAGGCCCCCTTGCTGGCTGTGAGATGCCCCAGTCCCAGTCTGGGCGCATCAGGAGACAGACAGGCAAAGAGTGGACGGGAGTGGAGCGGCCTCGAGCCACTCCCTGCCCTCCCGCACCCCAGATGGTCAGACACCCCGCCGAAAGGCGCGGAGCCCCGCGTGGCTCAGAGCCCACACCGAGGAGGTAAAAGACCCATGGGCACGGACACAGCGTGGAAGGCCAGGCGCCGAGAAGCGTGGGGAGGGTCCCTGACTGGCCACCGCTGGAGCGAGCAGCCGTGGGTGGGATTGGGGGTGAAAGGAAATGAGAAAAAGGTGTGAAAGGGAGAGAGTGCGGGACCCCTGGTTGGTCGAAACCCCTGGTCCGGGTAAAGGATTCTCAGGAGCCGGGTGGAGGGTTCTCCATCATCTCAGGGCTCGCACTCTGTGTGGCGTCGCATCAGCATCTCCAGTCCCCCAGGCTGGGGACCACGTGCTGGGCGGGAGGGGCTGCCTCCCGGTAGGAATGCCCCTCCTGTGAGCTCCACGGGACGCTGGGCCTTTGCGCGCCGCGTGGCCCACAGCATCCAGGTTCGTGCTTCTGACGGTAAGGGAGCGTTGCAAAATTCAAACAGGCCAGGCGTCGCACGAGCCTTTCTATGCCTTGCCCAGGGATTCCCACAGATTTTCATTAAAAACATCGTACTCTCTGTTCCTTTGCCGTAGGACGGTAATAGATGCTACAAGAAAAAAGGTCAGAGACATCCGAGGGAGTTAAACGGGTATCTTTGCTGCAATATGTCTCGAAGATATTAATACCATATGGTATCGGAACTAAGAGAAGCCCTTCATTGTGAGATGCATCAGTATTTTATGTATTACTGAGAAAGAAAAAATGTCCAAGTTGGGAAGCTCACAGGGGACCCCTCCATAAAGCTGCACCAGCGACAGGTTGTGCTGTTGGTGTAGGAAGATGCGAGAAACAAACCTGCCGCACAGAGAGGGACAGCGGGGAACCCTCTGCTCTCTGCTCTGGCCCAGGTGGAAGGAGGGACAAGTGTCCTGCGCTGATTATTTGAACCATAAACCGGTGCTCAGTCTGGGGCCACACTCCCCAGGGGGTCCCCAAGGGATTGCAGAAGCTGGCAGCCCAGGTCACACACTGTCCCTGGAACTCCATCTCTGTCTAGATCTGTGGTGACCACAGCACACCAGCTATGAGATGGTCCCCGCTTTCAGGAATGCTAAAATGGGGAAAATGTGCCAGCAGGCCGGGCTGGAGGACTGAGCCCTTGTACGTCTTGTGGGGTCGGGGGTGGGCAGAGGGTGAAGCCTTGCTCATTCCATCCCACTAAAGTGCCCCCAGGGTCCAGGGGCATTCCATCCCCCTTACTCAGTGCCAGGTGCTGGGCACGGGGCTTCTCACGCATCAGCTCCTGCTGGTCCCACCACACTCCTGCATGGGGACAGCCTCATCTTTGCCATTGCCAGCAGAGGACACTGGGGCAGCTCGCCTGAGGTGACGCAGGAGCAGCAGTGAAGCTGGGTTTTCCGCGGGCTCCTCTCCCGTATCCGGAACGTGGTACCCATCCAACATCCTGGGAGGGACGTGCCTGGCCCTCGAAACGCAGCGCATCTCCCCAAATGCAGTTTTTCGGTCAAGTGCCTGCACAGAAGCGGCTTCTGGATCCGATTCTGTATCCGAGCACCCCAAGGAGCTGTCCAGTGGTCCTGGAGGTCCTGGGCCAACCTGGGTCCCCACTGTACCACCCTGTCCTTGCTGTAAAGGGATTAACTCTGGGCACAGGGATATGAAATGCAGTAGCATCTTCCCAGTGCGTGCTATGGGAAGATCAGAGTATAGATGGCGCATCTCTGTATTCACGTTTTCTACAACTTCTGATGTGTGAGCAAACTCCTATCACCTTTTTAGTCCTCTGACTGAGGGACACAGCCCAGCCCTCCCTCCAAGGGGCATCCAGAGAGCCAGGGCACACGCAAGTAGCATGAGCAGCAAGCCCTCTTCCCTGCAGGAAGATGAGCCAGGTTTTATTACAGATCCCATCACAATGCAAACGGCTGGTACTTCTGTGATGGAACTACTCTTGTGCACCATGTAAATCAATGGCAGCCCCCTGGGAGACGATTTGATTTAGGATGTTCATTTTGGGAAGCCAGTCTTTCTACAACACTACAGCCAAGATATTGCCTGGGCACTTCCATGACAAATGGAAAGTTTAGCCCAAAAGGACCAGATCTGTTAATAAAATAAATTCAGAGCCCTCCCAATCAAAATGCAGGTGCATTCTCTCAGGTCAGTGGGCTGAATCCCTTTATCTACTAAATTACTATAGAAAAACCCTCATCTGCCTGTCAAATTCTCCGCTGTTGGGGGGACGCCGCCTTGGGAGGCAGAAGCGGCTTCATAATAACTCGGATGATGGGCAGAGCAGCGTTATCTTGAAGACGGGACAGGGCTGAGAGACGGTCCCGCCAACAGGCCAGAAGGGTGACAGATGTTGCCCAGATGTTTTGCTGGCAAGTGACAGAGCGAGATCTCTAATCCTGCCCCGCCTCCACTCAGCCTGGTGCCCCTCCCCCAGGGCATCCTGGTGCATGTTAGGAACCCCTCTCTTTCAGGTGGGACGCAGCCCGTGGGTGTCTAAGCTGTCGGCAGGAGGGACCCACAGGGTCAGCATTCTGCAGTGTGACGCAGGCCTTGAGTGCCCACCCAGAGACCTGACCCCACTGGGCAGGGGGTAGGGAATGGGGAGAGGGAGAAATCGCGTCTAGTATGGAAAAGGGAAGAACATTTGGGAGCTCCATCCCCAGTTCCAAGAAGAGCCCCGGGGCAGGAGCCCCCCGTGAAGAAGGATTTGGCTCGTCCCCTGGGGGGGGGGCGCCCCACCACGCCCCCACCACGCCTCCCTCTCTCCCACCTGCACCGGCTGAGTCATGCCTGCAGAGAGAGTGAGTCACGGGGGTTACGAAACCAACGCTCTCCTGAGACGGAGGCTGGAGAGGACCTGAGAGAGCCGCCCGCCTGGGTCCTGCGCCCTCCCAGGCGGCTCCCGCCCCTCATCGCCCACCCTCTCTCAGGCTCCAGTGACTTCCCCACGGCACCCCACGCAAAGGGGAACGCTCCTGGAAGTGGAGCCTCGGCTCAGCCCTCTCCTTCCACCCTCAAAGCCTCCTGGGCCTGTTTTCTGTTTCCCTTTCTGTAGGAATCAGGGTAAGGCTGACTTTCCACAGGGGGCCCGATGGGACCAGGGCCTTGGGAGGAACGGAGAAGAGATCCTGAAGCCAGCCTCGCCTCTCACCATTTCCTTGTTCAGGGTGGCACATTTCAGTCCTTCTCCGGGACTCAGCGAGTCATTATCTGCAGGCAGCAGCCACGGGAACGACTCACCTCATTTTCCCACGCACCGGCCCAACTCAATGAGAGCTTTTCAGAGTCTCCTCATCACTGGGGAATACCTACCACGGGGCAGGCCCTGGGCTCCTAAAATGAAATATTTATCAACAGCTTAGGACATGCCAAGAGCTCATGTCATCTTCTAAACAGCCCTACGGGGTAGATACTGTCTTTACACACACACTCGCGGGTGGAGCTCTGTGCTCTCCGCGATCCCACAGATAGGACGGGGAGGGCTTGGGATTCACCTGCACAGCCGCTTGCCTCCTGGGGTGGGTTGGAGCTTCCCGCTGGGCCGCTAGGTGTCTCCTGGACCCTCGCTGAACCCAGCTAACGTGTCACATGTCTTTACTCCATTCAACGTGCCCCTTCCTCATCAGGTCTCCTTTGGGGCAGCAGTGCCATGACCCCGTCCCTCCTTGTGGCTTCTGTCCCCTAGGACCCAGGGCCTCTGCAAGTCCACTGTCTCGCGCTGAGGTGAGCAAGGCCACTGGTGAAGGAGGTCAAACCCGACTAGGTGAACGAGGCCTCCAGAATGCCGCCCAACAGGTGGGAGGGCGCGGCCTATCCCCACCACTCAGGCGACGCACTCACCTGGGATGCCCCCAGGGCCCTCCCTCCAGGCTCCCCGTAGATCACGCAGGGCCAAGGCCGCCGCTCGGGGCGCCCTGTGTCAGTGCCTGTGTCCCGAGAGCCCCAAAAGTCTGCGAGAAGTTCCCGGTGGGGGGCGTCTCGGGTCCCGGGCTTGCGGCGGGCCCGGGTGCGGGAGGCACGAGCGCGGGCCCAGGGGCGCCACCGGGCCGCGCGGGCGGGAGCGCGCCGCGGCCGCCTCCTCCTCCCTCGCTCCCGCCCGCTGCGGCGGCGCTTCCCCGGCGCGGAGCGGCTTTAAAAGGCGGCACCCCACCCCCCGGCGCACTCGCCGCTCGGGCGCCGCGCGAGCCTGCCGCTGCCATGCCTCCGCGCGCGCCGCCTGCGCCCGGGCCCCGGCCGCCGCCCCGGGCCCCCGCCGCCGCCGAGGACGCGGGGGGCCCCCGCCGGCCCGGGCTCCGACCGCTGGCGCCGCGCCCCTGGCGCTGGCTGCTGCTGCTGCTGCTCGCGCTGCCCGCCGCCTGCCCCGCGCTGCCGCCGCGCCCCGTCTACACCAACCACTGGGCAGTGCAAGTGCTGGGCGGCCCGGCCGAGGCGGACCGCGTGGCCGCGGCGCACGGCTACCTCAACTTGGGCCAGGTGAGTGCGACCGGCCCCGCGCGCCCAAAACTTTCCCGGCCACGCGGGCACGGGTCCCGGACGCTCGGCCCGCGCGGTGGGGGTGGCCGAGGCACCCTGGGGGAAGTCGGCCGGGAGCGCGGCGCGCGGGACGCTGGGCGGGGACGACCAGGTGGCCCGTGCGGATGCCCGTGCAGGCCCGGCGCGCCGGGGGCAGCTCTCCGGGCGGGTGACCCGGCGCGGACACCTGCCCAGCCGGGCCGAAGTGGGAGCCGTGTAGGGCGCCGCGCTCTTCCCGTGGGCGCTGTCCTCCGTGCCCCCCAGGTTCTCCCGGGCCTGCGACTCTCTGCCCTCGACGGGTGGCGCGGGGTTCTGGACCCTGAGCGCGCGCGCCGGGGCGGCTGGCCGCTCGTTGGATGACAGGCGCGGGCGCGTGGCCTGGCCTCCCTGGGACCCCTGCCCGCTCCGTGCCCCTGGGTCTGGGAGGGAGGACTTCCTGGTGCCAGTGCCTGAGAATCGCCATCAGGGGGGCTGTCTGGACAGCCTGGGACTCAGCAGCTGGGCGCGGGGCTGCGGGTGGGGGTCCTGCGTCGAAAACTCCTCTGGGCGCAGTGTGGGGTGTGGGCAGTTTGCTTTGTTTCTAGGTTTCTGCTGGGGCTCAGTGGCAGCTCTGTGGGTCCTCGGTGTGTGACCTTAGGCAAGTCATTTCCCCGCTCTCCTTTTGTTGGAACAGTGACAGTGTGTAACTAGTCACAAGCCGTGGGGCTGAGGCAGTGTTGACCGGTAGCAAAGCGTCAGGCCGGGCCTGACCAGACCAGTGAGAAAGGGACCTTCCTTGGCGTCAGCGGACACGACTGCTGTCACTTGGCAATAGAGAACAAGTCCGGGGCGTGAAGGCCGCATAACCCCAAAGGACCACCAAGGCCAGGTCCTTTTCTTGTGCCCCAACCCTGCGGCGTGGCAATGGGGGCAGGGGCCGATCCTGACTTGGGTCCCATGGAGGGGCGCAGTGCGAGGTGAGGTCCCACCAGGGGACCTCTGGGCGCAGTGAACAAATCTCCAAACGACACACTTGGCGGATCAAGGGAAGTGACAGGGAGGCCGCTAGCTCATAACTCAAACCCCAGTGCTTAGTGTTAAATTTAGTTCCATCGGATCCGCGACAGAAGCCAGCAAAGTGTAGCGAGGCCCTAATCTGAATGACATTTCTGCCGCGTCCCCGGTCTCTCGCCAGTGCTGCGAATGTCAGCTGTGTGGCCTTCTGGAAAAGTAGCTCCTGTCATTTGAGCCGCGCTTGACACCGTGGGGCAGAGGGTGACTGAAAGAACGCCCCCGCATTGTTTGAACAGATTTTCTTCTGTTTTGACCAGTCGAATCCCTTCATCGAAGAGCGTGCCTTTGGGAAGCACGGGCCCTGTTTCTGTCTGTAGTTCCTAAGTCGCCCTGGCCGATGGTCCGGCCCGAAGGGGACATTCCTCAGGGCTCCCTCCCGTTCCTCGCCGCCCATGTTAACGCGGGCCCGTCTGCTGCCACACTTGGCTGCTCTGCCCAGGTGGCCCAGCAATTTGTCTTGAGCTCAAAGTGACTCTTAAACTGCACGGTAAATTACAAAGCGCCTGGGTTTCTGGCTCCTGTGATCAAACGCCTGGAGGGGAACTGAAGTGAAGCTGGGAGCTCCTAGGCGCTGCAAGACAGAGGCTCAGGGATGCACCCCCCCATGCCCCCTCCCCCAATGCATACAATTCCTGTCCACAGAATGAATCAAAAATGCTGGCTCTTTGGAACAAGCCCGGTCAGACTCACCGAGCTGAGTCTGCTGCCCTCGTTTTGCCTGTGGGAGGGATGGTTCCTCCCGGCATGCACCTGGGACGTTTTGGGGTGGGGTGCTCTCTCAGGCGCCCCCTCCTCAGCTCTGTACAGCGGACTCCATGCAGCCTGGCCACTGAGGTTGGTAGGCAGGGTGCTGCAGGCGACACTGTGGAGACCTTCACAGGCTGAGGGGTTGGTGGGTTGGGGGCACGCACTGTCTCGGTGGTACGTGCGTGCGTGCGTGTGCGTGTGAGCGATTACCCAAGGAGGGCCTATTACTCCTTATGCCAAAACCAGCCTTTCTTCCCCCCTCCCCCAAGTGCGCCTCTAATGTGGAAAAGGCCCGAAGCGTTCCAGTCTCTACCTACTCAATAAGAACTCTTTAAAAACCTCCTTTGCCTTTTCAGCCAGGAGAATTTGTGACTCATAAATAAGACGTAGATATTCTTAGCTTTGATTTATGGGTGAGTAAGCTGAGGTGAGGCCAGCGATGGCAGCTGTTTGCGTCCACACAGTAAGCGTGTGTTACCTCTGACAACTACGGTCCCGGCTCTTTGTCTCGGGCCGCATTCTCTGGTCTAAGGTCTCCTTTGTGTGACTTTTCCTAAACCCTTAACGGGCAATTAGTGTTGCTGGTACCTGCCCTGACTCACAGTCCTGCTTTTGTCGGGAGTCTTAGCACGCCTGTACGTTCTGGCCTGGTTGTTTTCTTGTCTTCCTTCGTTCAGCTGATAACCGGATCCCGTTGATTTTACACTGTGCAAAGGTAACTGAGCCCGGCGGTTGGTTATTCACCTTTCTTGAAACACAGATCTCTTTGAAGGGATAAAAGTTCTGGGTCTTCTCCGTAGAAAAATACGTGTCGTTGGGAAGGAGACAAACTAGCCTCTTCTTGCCCTTCTATTTGTCATCGTACTAGAGGTCCCCCCACAATGCACCACGGCTTAAAAAAAGAGAAAACTTTGGAGGAGTCAGATGTCGCTAGAGACAGATGACATAACTAACTACACGGGTAATCAAATAGAGGTTAGCTGTTAGGTCTAACAGAGTTGAGCGGGTTGCTTAATCAACAGTAACTTTATAGCCCTGGCTGGTGGCTGGTGTGGCTCAGTGGGTTGAGCACTGGCTGAGAACTGAAAGGTCGCCGGTTTGATTCCCAGTCAGGGCACGTGCCTGGGTTGCGGGTGCGGTCCCCGATTGGGGGCGCGCGAGAGGCAACCGGTCGATGTATCTCTTGCACAGTGATGTTTCTCTCCCTCTGCTTCTCCCTCCTTTCCTTTCTCTAAAAATAAATAAATAAGTATGTACATAAATAAAATCTTTTAAAAAACCACTAATTACAACAGCAACGTCTGAGGAGATAAAAGAAATTATAATTCACTGCAGCATAAAAGCTATTGGATACTAAGGAATGCATCTTAAAACAGTGAGACTTTGAGGGAGAAAATTAGACACTACCCGAAGAAGTGTTGATAGAAGAAGGTCTGAATATTGGAGGGGTAGATTATGTTCATGGATGGGAGGGCTGGCTATCACAGGTTCCCCCTAATTAATCTGTGAATTCAGTGCAATCTAACTGAAGCCACGACAGGATTTTATGTGGACTATGAAACCACACAAACCAATTCTAAAGTTCAAATAGGAGAGGAAGGTTCCAGAACCTTTTCCAGTACCTATAAGGTGCCTGAGACAACGCTGAGGAGGAGGAACAAACAGGGAGGGGAGAGGAGGGAGAGCGCCCTGTCAGAGAGGGGACCTTCCCATAAAGCTGTGGTTGTCACAACCGTTTGGCCTTGGCCCCCCGATGGTCCCGTCCGTCATGAAATTGACCCAAACCCAGGCAAACAGAGCAACTTGTGTGTGTGAGCAGAAAAGTTACACACAGGTGGGAAAGGCCAGACAAGTCAATAAATGGAACTAAAAGAACGGACTTTTCACAAGGCAAAAACATTGAGCTGTGTGCCTCACATACACAACAATAAATTCCAGATAGGATGAAATTTGTGACACTGTGTAAACTCTTTTAGAAATAACGGGGGCGGAGGAATACCTTTACGCCAGGAGGCAAGGAAAGGATTCCTTAAAATGCAAAAAGAATAAATAAAAGAAGGCCAAGATCCATACGTTAAAACGCCTGTATAACAAAGAGAAAACACGGTTACAAAGCAAGTATAGACTGCAAAAAGTGTAACACACAATGGACAGATGAGCACGTGGGTTATTTTAAAGGCCACAGAGCGAAAAAAATGTATCAATGATCAAGATCACGTATCAAAAAAAAAAAAAAAAAAGATAAATCCCAGAGAGAGGAGTGGGAAGTACGTAAACAGGGACTTGGATGAAGAAGACATCTAAGTGGCCGGTGAGCGTGCGGAAGGACGTCCAGCCTCCCTCCGAGTTACTGGGGTGATCCAGGTCAAGGTAATGATAGTAATGCCATTTCACGCCTATCCTATTGGCCAACGGGGACAAGTGCTATGGTCTCAAGTGTTGGCAGTGACACAGGGCAGTGGGACGGTTCCCCTGCTGCTGGATGGTGACTTGGCAGCCACCACGCGGCTGGATTGTATCAGCGAGTTCCCATGTAGGAGAAAAATTCTCGCACGTGTGCCTCGGGAGGCTTGTCTAGGAATATCCACAGGCATTTTTTTGAAGTGGTGCATGCCCATCAGTAGAAGAATGGGAAAATAAATCGCACCGCGGAAAATACCCACGCCGTCGTTAGAAAAGAATTAAGCAGATAGGGATCTGCACAGATGAATCTCAAAAAGTAGGTTGAGTGAAAAAGGCAAGGTGCAGATGTACAGCGTGATAGTGCATATGTAAACTTTTGCAAACACGCTTAGCGAGTCTCTATTATTTATGAATGCCTGCGTGGATGGGAAGAATTCGCATCTAGTTAGTGGTGGCCTTGGTGGAGGGAGGGCGGGGAGGGAAACCAGGGAGAGGAATGTCAAACTTTATCTGCAGTGTCCTGATTCATAATATACATACATAGGTGTGTATGTGTGTGTCCCTATAATATATAGAAACTATATACAAAATAGTGTTGAAGCATTTTCCACTTTTCTTTCTTTGTATCGGAATATATTACATATGGTTACATATGGCTCTGGACGCCGTGGCTCAGTTGGTTGGAGCGTCATTCCGCAAAGCAAAAGGTCGTGGGTTCGATTCCCGGTCACGGGACCTACCTAGGTTGCAGGTTTGGT